CCACCTCTTGTGCAGTGGATATCAGTTATTATTAAATTTAATTTGGACTTTCATTGGGGAATGCACGTACATCTACTGGCTGACGAGTCCTAAATAGGACAAAATGAGTATTTACCACCCACCAATTTACTTCAGGTTAAATAATCAGACATCGTCGAAGCACGGGCACAAGGAGCTGACATGTCACAACCCGATGTCGAGCACTTCGGTCTAACCAATCGACGTGAAAGTCCAAATTGAATTAAAAGTTATTCACTATCGGTTTACGTTAAGACCATTGTGTCAACTAAAGTTGTCTCACAGGTTTGTCATTAATAAACATAAGTGGGATAACTAGCACTTCCAAAATAGGTCTTTAATCTATTAACCTGCACTGTTCTATCGTGTTCTCTACTTGCCTATAAATCAGGTAAAAGTAAGAATAAAAAAATATACAAGACCTGAAATTCGCCATTTACAAGAATGTATTAGCCTATTTGTATGTTAATGCGTCGTCATCTCTTTCCTGTTTGACTTTGATGTTCGTCAGCTGCACTATATATATATAATATATTCGTCATTTTCGGCCACACAGGACCTTATAATGGCTAAACAAACTGACTGAATTCCTGCATTTTTCCGTCAAACTTGCAATGAAAAGTACAATGATTAAGTTTCGAACAGATTCCTCCAGTGACTTGAATATCCAGAGTGATATTTGAAGTGACTTAGACACAATTGTAACCATCCAAACTCCAAAAACACGTTTGCGTCATGCATTGAAGCGGTTCTAGCAAATAGGCCCCAGGTTTGAACCCTATTCTACCTACTTCAACACAGGCAACTAGGCAGTATCATTAACACTCACAAAACAAGTGTCAAGGACAGTTCGGTGCCGAATAAATGAATTCTAAGCATTATCTGTAACTAACTGAACCATATCAACACCATGAATTCTAACTTCTGCCAATTCACGACATAGCGCAACCACTAGCCAATGTCTTCGGCAAGTATTTGTCCTTACACGGGCCATTGGATCGGGTCCCAGTGGCTACTTAATGGTCTACGAGCTCGCCTTGTAACCAGAAGGTCCTGGGTTCGAACCCTAGCGGTGGGCGCGTACTCCTGAAGAGTACCAAACTAGGACGAAACAGCTGTCCAGTACTCCCTGCGGGTTTTCCAATGCTTCTCTAACCAATATCAGCTCATGATGAAATCCTGCAGCCAATCAACCAAATCCCTACAAACCAATACTTGAACACTTATTAAAGATTGAAATATCGAAGTATTAACTACAGATTATTTTTAACCGCCGCAGCGGCCTGTTTAAATTACAGGGGGTTACCGGAATTTCCATCCATCAAAACGCTGCTTAAACTCTTCTGCATTTCTTATTGTTTTAATCGTGCAGTTATGTCGAGAGACGACAACATGGATTCGAGCACATATTTCATCAGCTTCCAGTTAAACGCTGTGAAATTCTTGCAGATGAAGAAAACACTTAAAGAATAATTGGTTCTCTCTTCATATGTAACAACACTACTACGTCACATAATATACTTCAAGTAATTACTTTCCATATAAATTCTGTAATGAAGAGGGTATATTTTGTGCGTCGGTGGCACAGCGGTAGAATGCTCACCAGCCATGCAGGTGGTCCGGGGTTCGATCTCCGGCCACCGATGCACTCCTTTACCTCACCAAGCCAGTAATAGGACTGGCAAAGAGGGAAGGTTGGTTGGGCATGAGGCTAGCTAGCAACCCCATCCCGTAAAAAAATAAACACCACTGCTACAGGAACTATAAGTCTGTAGCTTAGCTTGAAGCCCTATGTTCCATTGGGAACGTAAAGGAATTTTTAAAAATGTTCACATATTTTCCGAAATAAAGCTTCTTTATCATTGTTATTATTTCTAAGCTCGGAATGATACCCTGCAATATATACTGATTATGCCAAAATAAAGATGAAGTTATAATTAGGAGAAAAACTAATGTATGAATTTTGACTGCTTGTAATTTGATTTGACATCTTCATCAATGTGTTTTGATTTCATTTAATTCAGTCTTTTTGTCTCTGTGCACTATGTTACTCATGCATCTGGCAATGATCCAAACCTGTTGTGTGTGTAGGCTGACCACACGATATAGCTACCCAAGTCGAAGTAGGCGGAGTGGGATTTAAGCCTGCAACACAATGCTTGGAAGTCAAGCGTCTACAGTTTTTTTTCCTTCACATTCCCCAGTGGAACATAGGGCTCCAAGCTAGTGGCTTGAAGTTTCCGTAGCAGTGTTTATTTTACAGGATGGGGTTGCCAGCCTCATGCCCAACCTTTCCCCTTCACCAGCTTTATTTCTGGCTTAACGAGTTAAAGGAGTGAGTCGGCTGGGGATCGAACCCCGAACCATGTGCATGGTCGGCGAGCGTCCTAACCACTATGCCACCGACGCAGGCAGCGTCTACAGTAGTAAGCCACAATTCTATAATATGTTTTAGCTAACTAACTGACCTATAAGAGTAATTCTCTATATTAATCGTTATGATAGTCTAGAATATTGGCAGAGTACCACAATTCTAATGGTATATATCCAGTGTCTTCTGCCTTTACTTTGAAGAATAAAGACAAAAATTCCTTTTTCACTGGTAAATTATCGTTCCACAGAATGTAATAACTCTCCTTTTACAAGTTAGCTAGAGAAATAAACCTTCTACCTGAGAAAGAACTAAAGTTCAGCGCGCTTACTGAACTTTCAACAGTGTACACTTTATTTCCTCATATTTTAAACTAGCATTTGACATTTCTGATATTTTTCTTCACGATGGCATATATTTATGATGTGCCCCTAACAAACGACCTGGTACGACCAAGGGTGGATAGACTTCGGTCTTCCTCGCAAAATGCTCTCATGTGACTACACGTTTATAGTCTCTGTCAGGTAATTCCTATTCACTGCCATCATGCGGTGGAGGTGAAAGTAAAAAGGGGAATCCGAAAGTCTGGAGCTTAAAACCAGACTGGTGAACATCCATTTCTATCTACGGGTGCTAGAAAACTCTGTATCCAAATCTATGGTATATATGAGCTCCAAAATCCGAAGGGATCCAGTGGCGTTTGGATCTATTTTGGAGCGTAGTGACTGATGCTGCCTCACTGTTTTGTGGATCAGAACTGAAGCCAAAGGCTTCGTGCGGGGAAGGTTACTTAAGACAAGCACTTGCTTCAGCCTTGGCCCCCGGGTAATATATCAGCCCTTGCACAAACTGTGAGATTTTGTGTGGGGTATCTCTTGGCGCCCAAAATGCACCAAGTTAGTGTTTTAATTCAGAAAATTTGTATGGAATTACAGTAATGCTGGAGGTAAATATACTTGGTAAAAAATTATGAACAACTTAGCTATTCTTCAAACAGTAAAAACTATCCATTTAATGATAAGATATCAAGTGTCGGTTTTCAGGGATCTGATGGTTACAGGCTTGATCACGAGTTGACATCAGTTAGAGCACCATCGGAAACCCAACTTGGGAGTATTGGACATCTATTCCGTCCTAGTGTCTGGGACTCCTCATCAATACGCACTCACTGTCAGAGTTTGAACCCAGAACCTTCCGGTTGCAAGACGAGCTCGTAGACCATTCAGCCAGTAGGACCCGATCCAATGGCCCATGAATTTCAACTTCTGCTGATATGTGGCTGGATGATCTACGAGGTTGCTTTATGGCTGGAAGGTCCTGGGTTCGAACCCCAGTGGAGGCGTACTGCTGAGAAGCCCTGAACTAGGATGAAGCAGCTACCCAGTACTCCCAAAATTATAGGATAGCTAAATAATCGGCATGGACAGTTCAAAGTATTTTCCATAGTTATTGAAGTAAGTGTTATAGACTTAAAAAATGGCAATAAAGTTGTCTTCAAGGGGATAATGGGAAATGAAGAGATCTATCCTCATACGTGACTCAACAGTTAAGTACACGTGCACACAGTGAACAATGTAATCGTACTCTTAATTTTTTAAAATTTTTAGACAACACTTGACATTTTTAAAACATTTTTGATTTCAATTCACTTATAAAACAATCTTTAATAATTTTGTAATTTATCCACTTCAACTCTACCCCCTTTTTTTTCCTTCACGTTCCCCAGTGGAACATAGGGCTTCAACCTAGTGGTTTGAAGATTCTGTAGCAGTGTTTATTTTACAGGATGGGGTTGCTAGCTTCATGCCCAACCTTTCCTCTTTACCAGCATTATTTCTGGCTCAGCGAGGTAAAGGAGTGCGTCGGCCGGGGATCGAACCCCGGACCATGTGCATGGTTGGCGAGTGTCCTAACCGCTATACCACCGACGCATCAACTCTACCCCTTATAACATTTTAATTATCGTTATTCTTATCACATATATGTATATTGACTGAGCAATTATTTAGTGCCACTTAATAACCTTTTCTGTAATATAAATACGACTGTACAGCTTGAAAATGAAGTCGTTGAAAAGAAATTTCTTCGCTGAACAAAAAACTGTGTTTCTACTTATGAACAATGTAATAGTTATACTACCTGGCTGTACAAGCCTTAGCAGGTGAAGCAGGGTTCGGTCATATAATTCCCTTGTTGAAAGCTGAATATATAAACCAATGAGTTACAACTTTATTGAATAATTGACGCTTAAAGGACAAAACACATTTTAAAATATACTAGAAGAAATACGAGTGAAATGTAGGGTAGATCTTTTCAAAAGTGACTATATTTTAAATAAAAATTCCAAGGGCTTGGATAAATTACGCTATCGACTATCTAAGATAAATATTAAGTATTAATAAAAAATTATTAGGCTTGAGTTTAATTCAGTTTAATAAACTTTTGATAGTAAATATCAAATAACCTTTTGTGTCAGATAGAAAAGTTTATCAATATATATGCAAGACATATCGGTTAATAGGAGCATAGACTTAAATTCAAAACAACGCTTAACAAGATTTAATGAAGATAACATACAAAAAGAAAATAACAAAACTATTCAACTACTTACCATAATTATGTAAAATTGGTCTATGTAATGAAGATGAATATAACTTCATACCTCTAGCATTCTCCAAAAGATTTATACGACGTAGACAATCAGCCAGTGAACTTCTTAAACATGCCAATTCATTAGCTTGTTCAGCGCTTCGTTTCTCCAAGTCTATAACGCGATCTTGGAGACCAGCGTTCTCCAGATTCATTAATTCAACTAAATAGTAGTGAAGATGGTAATTCATGAGTGAAGTTAGCAAAACAACTGAATGAAAGAAAATTTTTGTAAATAGACTAAGTCAATCGATAATATTTTAAATGCCCCGATAATTGAGACGGCTACAACGTGCCATGTTATCATCTCCCTTGTCGAGTAACCTTAGCTGACATAGAACTACAATGGAAAGGAGTTAAGGGCAGTAGACTCAAAACATAGCATCAATTCATAATGTCTTTGACTGTCGATCTGAGCCACGAAGTGAGGTATAGATTGCTAGACTAGAGTCCTGTAGACGATAAGAACCAACGGCTCGAAACTATTTTTTTTCTTACAGCTTGATTCCACACCGTATTTTTTGGTACAGGTATGGAATTTTTAGCATGTGATATTGGTAGCCCAAATTTTGCAGGCTGACCATAGATATCGGGTGTGCATCGGCAGGAGATCGAACCCCGAACCATGTGCATGGTCGGCAAGAGTCCTAACCACTGTGCCACCGACGTGCAGTATGGCTAAAAATCAATTTCAATGGCATGGATGCATTCACTTTTTGTAATTTCCTGGATTCATTACAACCTCATGATTCTTCCCGCCGTACATTTATGCTCACTATAGTTCCTTTGAAATTGTTTTCTCATCTTTCGTGTAGTATGTGGAGTGTGAAGAATTGAATTATTGCATTTTTGTGCGAAGTCCTGTGTCCTAAACTTAGTCAACTAATAACGCCTATAAGAAGTATATTCACCAGAGTAGAAGACTTTACCACAATTCATATTCATCATTAGTACATTTCTATGCAAAAATATGAATATTTATCCACCCTTATGTGGAGCTTATCATAGAAGCTTTTAGAATGTAGGTACGAAAACTTGAAAACTCAGATTAATCAGTCATTAGATATTAACGAAATACTAAGTGTTCTATACATATGACTTAAACAAGTGGCATCGAACATTAAAGTCAGCATATTGTTAGTACAAAAGTGTGTAGCAAAAAATTACATGATAATTGCATCAATGAAAGTGCGATTGCTTAAAATATATATCATCTCTATAACACTGATTCAAGTATATATGCACACTAATGAAATAACCTTCTCTATTCAAAATTTTTAAACTGATGTTTCGACACACGCCTTTTGTAAGACACGTAAATACTACTGATTACGAGTTGTAACGGTTGATAAGTCAATAATCTCGGGTAAGAGCGTTGGTAGGAGTATGACAAAGGTCAACATTCGTTAAACAAGACCTAAAGTACTGAGTGTTAAATTGTACGGTCACATGTGTACGCACTTAAATAAAGTCTTACGCTATACCAGTAGTATATCGATTATATGTGGAATTTTTGTCATAACCTTGTCAGTGACTTTCACACTGAACGACTGAGCATAACACTTTTTATATCCCTATTTCTTCCCAAAACAGTCCAAGCATTTATAGTCAGTATCGCAAATACTGAGATCAGGTAGTAACAATACCACTGCCATTTGAGAAAATTGTGTTTGTTGTTGTTTACATGGCTTTTGTGTTAAGCTGAGTGCTTTGATGAAAAATTCGATCAGAAAGTAAGAATATCAATCACCGTGTTAGGATTATGTGCGTGATTTTGAGCAGGGGCGTAGACTATGACTTAATAGATCAACACTTTATGATTGGCTAAGAACTATATTCGTTAAGGATCAAAAATATAACGATACCATTACTAGATTTTAGAATGTAGGAAACGCTGTAGTACTATTTTCACGAACTCGTCTGATATTTGATGCCTATGACATCCAAATAAAAGCACGTTGGCAAGATTTAAATGACACTTTGAAAATAATTTTATACTGCACAGTGGAGTGTGACATGAGGATCTATTCTTCCTTTGTTTGAAAACAGCGTTCTATGCCGCAATAATTGTTGTCAAAATATACCTTCAACGATAGGCAAAAGGGACAGTACAGAATATCTCAGTCTTCACGGCGTTATAAAATTGAAGACATTTGTGGTGCCTGATATTATTCTTCCGTATCTAATTTTAGTACACGTTAAAAATACTTCTGGACGTGGAAGTATACCATTTTCGATAGTATTATATTTATTTTTATGTTATGAGGTGATAAAACATCTTTTCGTGCTTGCTAAGACGAACGTTCCAGAAGCTACTCGAGTAACAACATTATGGACTAGCATTAGGGTGCAAACAATTTTTCGTTAGTCCAACTGAGCAAAAAACAAATAAAACAAGTTGGCAAGAGCAACCAATAAGAAATCTTAAATTCAGTTTGTGAAAACGACAAAATTTGATAGTTAAACTAACCATGCATTTCTGTCTGTTCCGAATGCATTTCAAATAATGTCAAGGTTGCACGTCCAATGTCCAACAAAAGTGGCCAGAGATAATGATAGTAGGCCGGTAAACCTGTGCTTAACCTTTTGAAAGATGCCTACGCGAATAGTTGTTTTAAAAAATATCCTATAAAGTACCTGCTACCATTTATTTCCACAAAGAGTTTCTGAAGCCGGTCACCGTGACGAAAATCACTTACTTTACCTGAAAACGTTCCATATTGGCGCACTTGTCTTTTCTACAAAGCTTGTATTTTATCTAAACCGATACTGAACTGGTTTTAGCAGATAATTTCAGCAAACCATGTTTACAGCCTAAAACCTACTGTATATATTTACTCCGGAATATGGTTTTCCTTATTGTAACATAGGCTAGCCTCACAGGTAAATAATACCAAATGTGACCTCACATAACAATGAAAATATGTCAGTACAGGTCAAACCCTCATGGTTCTAGAGCAGTATCACTGTAATGCCAGAACAGTAAGGCTTTCTCTTTAGGCCGCATTGTGATATACCAAGCCTAACCTTAAAATGTTTTTGGAGTGAATTGCCTGTTGCTTCCATCTCAGTCCTCTTTGATTGAATTGAGTCAGTCAAATATCCTGCTTCTGTGCGAGTAAATGTTGTCACTTTCCATGATTAAGGAGCTATTCTCGTACTATCTCTACCGTAACGGTAACAAAAATAAAGTCAGAACGAATTTGTATAAATCAAGCTTCTAGTTACCTATTATTGTCACTCAGTTAATGATTAGACAAACGCTGGATAGCCACGTCTTCTAAAATTAAATGTTTGAAACTGCCATAACTGCATCATCTAATGATGCTAAGATCTCAGGGATATTCCAGTTCAGTTCAGGAGATTTGCTTGTTTCAAGTTTATGAAAAATCAGTTGGTCATATCTGTTGAAAAGAAACGAAGAAGACATCAATAAAATTCTCCGTACTCTTGCCCCCAAGTAAAAACCTATGAACTAATATCAGATGAAAGATCAACACAAGCAAAGCTTGGTTCCTCCTTTATAATTACGTCACAATACGGCAGAGGCAAAGGGATAGTATAATCTCCTGAAACGCATCCCAACATGCAAGAAGAGTCGTTTGCTAATATTCTAAACCTTCTGGCGCCTTGTGGAGACACTCGCAAGTGTCTGTTACCTTTTAGCGCTTAGTTTCAAACAACTTAGTCTGTGTGGCTAAATAAGCTCTTTTCTCGTATGTTGGTTAGAGGTGATTCTCAATGAAAACATTCGGGATCCGGCTGCAGAACGAAGCGATTCAACTCTCCTCCCAAAAGAAGATATTTGGAAATTCATCCTAATCTTCAACTGCGATCCAACCACTATGAAAACACCAGTCTATCGGGACGGCGTATCACATGTTCATGAACCGAGAACTATACTAGAAGACCACAATCATTTAAATCTTGTCGTTTAAGCCAACCGCATCTACGGTCACTCACATGTCCGGAGATTTTTGACTCTCAGGTAGATATGCAAGCATGAAGTCCACAAGCGATAACTCCTTGTCCGAATAAGGAGTCCAGGGCGAACTTCAGTTCACACAAATTTGAATTCCGTGGTAGTGATGTTTGAAGTAACACCCTGAACATACAAGAATGAGCTCCTCCCAGCAACTGCATAGTGCCTAGGAGTCCATTGAAGTCAGGCATTTATGTTTCTTCTAAGGGATTACTGTGGTTTCGGTATAAAATACCTGGTTATTAAATATATCGGGTTAAAGTCCTAGGACGTGATAAACAGGATTAAAATTATCAAATGTGCCTTTAATCATAACTTTGCAATGTCATGGTAAATTAAATCACCGTGAACGCCTTTTTGAGTGCGAGGTGGTAGCATTGCATGGAGGACGATTTCCAGATCTTTCCTGCTCTTCTGATATTCAATTACAGTACCCAATTACAAATTAGACAAATCAATTATTTTTGAATACCATTTAATGGCATCTCACTACTACGACTGTTATTGGTTTGCTCCGAAAATTCTGTATTTTTTACTCCCAATGCACAACTACGATTATTTAGTTGTGCCAATCTCTCTACAGTATCTTAGCGATTCTCCCACTGCATCCTTATGGATGTCTACATCAGGACAGACAATGAACAGTTCAACCGATCAGGTCTTGATATCTGGCAACGCACACAATAAGTTTCTCATAAACTCCTGAGAAGTTTGTACGACTTTGTGAAAGTATTTAGCTGGCTGGACATTGTGATGCGTGCGATCCAAGCAGACTCCGGTTAATATGTTCACCACTCAAAAACTGAAAGTAAAGAGAGGAATTCGAGACACAGCACTTGCCTGGGATAGTTCTTTCCTCTAGATCTATGTAATGAATACAAACGCACCAGTCAATTCAGTTTTTCCCTAACACAGTGTGGCTTGATGAAGCTTATTATTTGCTTAAACGTCTGATGAACTCTAAATGAAGCATGTAACAGAAATCCATTTTCCTTATTTTTTTCTGAGACTGACATCCTGCATTTTACGAAACCAGAAGGCCTTTCGTATACGTTATGCTCGATTTTGAGTCCGACCTTAGGGCTTTGAGGTTGGTGATGTTAGAGTTGGAAGCTCAGTCAATATTTCTAGAATCTGACGGTTGGTACTGGCGCAGGATGAAGTAAATTTAAAGGATTGATGCGTTTTCCTTACCATTTGCATACGTAGATCCTTCATTCATTATCAGTCGTCTTCTCCTAGAGTCTACCACCAGATTATATCCCCTGGTAGGACTAAACCCAAAACGCTTGAGCCATAAATCTGGGTCAAATAATCACTGCTTCCTAAGTAAAAGATGCGACCTTATCTTTTAAGAGGTGAGGAAGTCTCAGCGTTTACACGGAGCACGATGTATACCAACTTAAGTCCTTAAACCCACAAATCCCACAGTAATTTTTCCATGTAGGCAAATGAAACTAAAACGCAAATTGGTCATCTAGAATACGAAATATATTCGGGGATCCAAATCGTAGTGCGGTGTTGAATGCTTAGCTAAGTAAGGGTTTTCCACGAATGAACAGAAGTAATACGACGTCGCACTCTGTAGCACGGATGCTTCACGGAGATCTCCCAGCTTAACCAGCTGACTTAAACAGTATATGTGTATGACTTCGGCACTCTGGTAGTGAGTAATTCCATATTAGTTTGTTTATTAGATGTATCAGACAGTGAAATGGTATTATTTACTGGATCACGTTTCGAACATAATTTATTGTTCATAATCACATCAATTATAATCAAACGACTTCGAAACTTGAGTTTTATAGTTTTCTTTGTCTTCCATTTGTCGTAAGGATGGTAGAATTTTCCAGATATCCGAGCGGACACGTGATGAATCATTCCTATTACACGCGTTTGAAGTTGATTCGATAAAATTAGATAATGGAGAAAAAATGGTCAGTTTATACATTCATATTCCAATAAATATGGCTATAGAGGCAGTCAGAAACGAACTGATTTCTGACCAAGAGCTCAAACTTAGGACGAGAGTGCTGCCATGCCTGACTTCCACAATATTTAAATTCCAAAGGAAAATATACGAACAAACTGGGGGAGTTGCCATGGGGACACCAGTATCACCGGTGGTGGCAGATATATTCATGAATATGTTGGAAAACAGTGATTGAAACGTTCAGTCCCACCCCAAACGTATGGTGGACGTATGTAGGTGACACGTTCACTGTACTCAGAACAAAGAATATAGATAGATTTTTCGAACACATCAACTCAAAGGTGGAGGCAATTTAGGTGACAATGTTAGAGTGTAGCGTAAAAAGGAAAGAAGATGGGAAGTTAAACACAATAGCGTGTGTTTACACACATTCAAACAGATACTTGAACTTCCGATCATCCTATCCCATGTCAGTGAAAATAGGATTGGTGAAATGTTTAAATGACAGAGCACAAAAACTAAGTAGTGCCAAGGAAAATCTAAGACTGGAAGTGAGGCATATAAGAGAAGCCTTGAAAACTAATGATCATCCTTATAAATTAGTCGGAAAGTATTTAGGGAAATGTAAAATTGAAATAAATAATGATAGTAGTGATAGTGATAATAATAGTAATGATAGTAATAATATTAATGACGACTTGCATGTCAAACATGCGCAAGATAATGACGAAACCAACAATAAGGAATCTAAATCATCAGTAGTAATTCCAAACAAAGAAGGAACCTCAGAAACCTTACGCAGAATTCTTGACAAGGTAGACAGGAACAAAAGTGGCTGGCATTCAAACTACCCACAAACTGAATTAGAAACAAGCTTTGTCGATTAAAGGATAATCTTGTGGAGACTTTAAAACAAAGCAGTTTAGTTTATCTAATACCCTACCAGCAATGATTGTCAGTTCAAATACATAGGTCAAAGTAGTAGAACAGGGTTAGTCAGTCAAACTAGCCGAGCATAAAAACCTAGCAAAATTTGGATTAGTTGACCCGAATAAGATAAGAAATCTGAAGAATAGTTCAGCTATAGCTGTAGATGAATGTGCTAAAATCTAATGTAACAGGATGGAGGGAGAGAATGATAACAGAAGCTCTGTGTATCGAATCAACTTCAAACACGTGTAATAGTGTAACAACAGAAGACAAGGGCCAGGCAACAGATCGTTTATTAAGGAAATCAAAGCATATTTATATATTTTCATGTACATTATTATAGATTAGTTAAGCAAACAAACACAGTCTTCTGATTGGTTGTTTCTCAATGAAAGTTAATCTTTCATCTCTTTGTGACTGTTTCTTGAATGTCAGATCATCTATATGTTAACTGTATCCGCCTACGCAAAGTCTGCTGTGGTCGGTTTTTGAATCAGTCTTGTTCATATTTTCTCACGATAAATCTTGAGAACGTAAACCTTGACGTAAATTACTGTCTTCCAATTTGGCTACTAGACAGCTCTCACCACAGTAGGAATGATTCATCACGTGTCCGCTCGGATATCTGGAAAATTCTACCATCCTTACGACAAATGGAAGACAAAGAAAACTGTAAAACTCAAGTTTCGAAGTCGTTTGATTATAATTGATGTGATTATGAACAATAAATTATGTTCGAAACGTGATCCAGTAAATAATACCATTTCACTGTCTGATACATCTAATAAACAAACTAATATGGAATAACTTAAACAGTGACGAATGCTTTGTTCTGATAATTCTGGATAGCTTCTCTCATCTGTAGACATTTTAGTGGGATCGGGTTTTGTCTTAGAACGGTTCCACTATGCTCTCATTCATCAGTTGTAGTATGATTGTCGTGTAAACTTCACCTGAGTGTGTATAGCGACTAGCATTTCCCTTTGAAACAACTGCTGAATGTACTAGTTCTCACGTATTGGAAACTACCGACAACCTGTCCCTTAAATGTGACATGAGGCTAGTTGGCTGAATGTTTCACATCCCGTTTACAGTCTTTTCTACCTATAGTAAAGGGTAGCATAGAAAAGAGGCTTTGTACTTGCTATTTGGGACTCGACAATGTGACAGTAAAAGAAATTTTGCACTTGTTGAGGTTACAACTGTAGATAGCATCGATCAAATTAACGGATCCTTGTGACATTAGATATCAAACTGTCTCTTCTTGTTTCATTGGTTTCTTCAGACTCTGTTTCGGTTAAATGAGGTATAATAGTGATTTATATGGAAAGTCTATTCAAAAAATGTTTGACAGTGACAGCGACTACAGTGTGAGATGAAACCTAAAAATACTAACTAAAACCAGTTTTTATTCAAGTAGTGGGTCTATTGCAGAGCATAAAGGACCTACGACTGCGCCGCGAGTAAGGAGGAAGAGAATACACTTTCTTAGATATCTCATTAAGTGCACATTATTTTAATGTTCCTGACGGTTTTGTGTAACTCGAAACTCTGGGCACACTTTTCTTCTCTCTCAATCTCCCTTAGTGTCGTCGAAGGAGACAGCTGCTTAGAGTTGCATGCAGTGCACCCACAGACTATGAAATAGACTCATTAGTTTTTCTCTGACACACATCTCTTCACACGACACTTGCTACACAAGCGTAAATGCTCATGAACTCACTTGTGGTTTGAATGAAAGAGAAGAGGAGAACGTTTCCAATAGAGAGGATGTTAGGTCTCTAACAAAGTGACCTTTAGCAAATGCTTGCAAGAATTAAAAGTACATATCAACAACAATGACAGCTTGTGAGGTTAAATGGCATCCCATTAGTTCCATTCACGGTCTTCTAAGTTATACATAATATACAGAGTACCTAATGGGAAGCCCATAGAATAATAAGCAGGAACAATAATGGACAATAGGTAGCATACGTGAATTATTAAGCTGCAAGAGAAGTGGTTGAGTTATCTCAGAAATTCTCACCATCCTTATGCATTACGTCAAACGAAAGATTCTTTATAACTTAAATGAAGATTTCTTCCGAAAGAAATTCTGGTGGATAATTGAACGATTATTAAAACCACATGTAGACTGATGCGTCAAATCCGAAAACGCAGGATTTTTTTAAAATACGGCACTATATAAAGCGTAAAATATGAAATATAATATGCAAACCTCAACTGTGAGTCGTCTGACTGAATGCCGTCAAAAAGCACAGTCAGTTTGCTTCAGCAATTAAAAAACAGCAGAGCTATGTCAAAGGCGACACACGTGTTACTCAGACATCATGTGAATGCCAGACACTGAATAAAGGTATACGGATAAACAGTGTTCACCAGTAAAGGATACACGAATAAGGCATATACAGCAAGTAGTGCTTGACTGTAAGAAAATAATTAAATACATCTAGTAGATTATTAATGCATAGGGTGAGATAAACTTCAATAGCAGATAAAAGCATAGTATTAACAAAAACAACTTGCACTACTTACTAGAGCCAAGTAGTATAAATCTGAACCAAAAAAAAGGAATGGAATGGGTGAAATACGACAGGAATTAATATCAACAATGTCTCCGACGACCAGTAAAGACTGGAAGTGGAACTGGTACCAAGATAGTTAATTTTTCATACCACAGTTCTGTCAACAAAAGAAGAAACATGAGGACTAAACCAGCCAAGTTCAGGACTGGGACTAAAATTAAGTTTGGTATTCAGGAGATTTAGGTTAAGGGCCATTTGAATGTAACCATTCATTCGTCACAAAGTGATAGAAAGAGACCATGATCACAAGAATTAGAGCCACCACGGACGATTGACGGAGAGTCATTGAGGACAGGAACAGCAAGTTCTGTGAATGCGTCTCCAATACTGAATATCCCTGAAAAAATGCAATCTAGTGACATGTAAACATTTGGTATGTATGTGGAAAAATATCGGTTCAAATATAATGCCCTCATTATTGTCGCTGGGAAAAGTGAAACTCACATGATTGAACGTAGACCACCTGGTATTATTAAAAGTGGCTACACGTCCCCCATGTTTCTTCTTCGACTTATGTCCATCTTATTTAAGTACTTTAAATCCATTTGATGAAATAAACACGCTGTCATAATAATGGTGCGGCCAAGTCTCATTTCCCCTCACCACATCAGCATTCCAATACATGTTTTTAGACCTTGAGCAACGAAGATAGTCTGTAGGGGATCTTAGGAGTCCGCCAAATCAGTTGAGCCCCAGTCAACTCATTGTCAGCCATCTTCGTGATCATTATTTATGATTTCATCACTAATTGCTCCACTACACATATTACTCTGCTAAACAGACTACATTTTAAGTTGCTGTAATACTAGCTACTTCTACACTTTATCTTTCTTGAACGCAATTTCCTAGGCGTTTGTAAAAATACTTATATACAGGTATGCATGTATAAAAGGTGATACTGCTAAGAATATCCTCAGGTATCGATGTATCTGGTGACCCAATGGGAAGCGCTTGTCATGAAAGCCATCAATGTGCGGCATACTGTATGACTGGGACGGGCTTTAAGCAATGCAATACTGCGACTATAGTTTGCAAAAACAATCTCAGAGCTTAAGATCAAAAAAGAGGGAGGGTGGCGCATGTTGATCAGCAGATATGGTAGTGGTGACAATTGTGAATCGCTCCAATCTGTAGGACAGCAACATGACAGCTCGAGAATTAAACATTAGTCTGCACCCTTAACAAAAAAAAAACAAAAAAATAAGGGTTGTTCAGATCTAAATGATAAATAAAAATAAGTGCTTTTGCTCCTACCATCTACAAGCCTGTTCAGCTTCTTGTTAAGATGCTACCCGTTGGACCCTACAGAAATTCGTGAGACATCTTGCAGGTCAGCTTGTTTTACGGCTTCTAATTTTCTAGATCTTTGAATTTACTCCTCACTTAAATATCACTTACCTACCTCACAATAATCTTTTTATTTACGCACTATTTTACTCTATCCGATATTAACTACCTAGGCGTTTATTGAAGTTAAAACTTGCTCTTTATTCATATTTGTTGCTTACTTTAAGTATAGTTAATTTGATTAAAAACGCAATAACACCAATGTTTGAACAAAGCTATATTTTCATCGGAAACATGATAATTTCCATGCTTAGACCAATATGGTTAGCATTAAACATCGCAATTGTATACCATCATTTCAAGTACTATATAGCTTCTTCTTCTTGTATTTATCTTGTAAATGTACTTTCAATGATTTTACTTGATATCATTTTGCAGCTGTGCAGAATTTTCTTCTCTTCCTGAAATAGCGTTCAATCACATGGCAGTATAGCACAAACCCAGATACACGATGTCCACTGGTTGACCATAACTGTCAGCAGAAAACGGAACGAAGTTTGAGTTGTCACTCAACTTTGATGATGACCGTAGTCAACGGTTTACAATTTTACATTTATAAGAAGTTTTCTGATAGCTTGTACAATAATTGAACAATTGAAACTTTTGAAAATGTATTAATTTATGATACTTCAGGATTGTAATCTATAAGATTTCTGGTCGTGCCTGTAAAAATGGCATGCATTTCTTGTAAACTACATAAAGTCTTTCGAAGTTTGTACCATTATAATTCAGCTCCTCAGATTTGTGCAGATTTTGAGTAAGCCATGGGGAAGCTTCCATTAAGAGCTTATTTGACATACCACGCAAATTCACTGTTTGTAATAGTTGCAGCTTTCTATTAGCCAAACACGTAACCACATCAAAACTATCTATCTGAGCTACCTTTCAAATAAGTTAGGATTGTATTCCAGAATAGGGTATTGGGCTAGTGGGGGTTATTCTAGAAGCCCCCCTTTCCTCTAAATCACAAGAACCATCAGACACTAAGATGGACGGCCACTTTAAACAAATTCATTTCTTCTTTCAATGCCCACAAAAGTCAGTATATCGATATCGAAATCCTGACTTAGGACTACTGGAATTTGGCTATCGCCTACATTGATAAAAACCTCGGCACAGATGTTTGAAGCTAAGCAGATTATCACAAACGTTAACTCAGGTTGTTTTTATTGACAGAATGCTTCAATCTTCCACTGCGGTCCTGATTTTGGTGAACATCATACAGATGTAATAACATCAACATAGGATAATGAGCTTTTCTCAATCTCTACAGCAGCAGTATGGACTCCTATGCCCCCCCTTGATAACAGAAGGAGGCGAGAAGAAACAAATTTTTAATGTTCAAGATATGTTTGTGGTACCACATACGTAGAATCAGCTGGACTTATACTTAGTTACATTGGCTATTTAAAGGTGGAAAAAGTGGCGGTCTTTCGTTCGTAACTTCAACGGCGGCTAGATTGTACCACTGGTTGTCCTATCTATTTTTCCCAGTTGTGTCTCATTTACGTGGTCGCTGGGAAGTGTGGTGGTATGACAATTTCTTGTCCTGAAAGAGATGGTGTTGTTGCGGACCTCCGTTTAGCGGAGTCTTTTTATTCAAGATATGAAGTACGTGATATCCTTGGTTCGGGTGCTAGCAGCACTGTGCGACGCTGTATAGAAAAAGATTCCAAGTGTGAATATGCCGTCAAAATTTTGGATCTAAACAGTGGCGTTGATACTCCGGATGTTATACGTTCAGAGTGCATGCGGGAGGTAGCAATCTTGCGCAAAGTAGTGGATCATCCTAATATAATTAAAATCCACGATGTTTTCGAGGGTGATGCATATATATTTTTAGTTTCTGAAATGTAGGTGTTTTTTATATATATATGAATTCACTCTTTTAGATGCCAAGGGGGTGAACTCTTTGACTATTTAACACACAATGTCATCATTTCAGAGAAACGAACGCGCGCTTTAATGAGACAGCTTTTCGATGCAGTTAGCTTCATACACGATCGTCAAATAGTTCATCGAGATCTCAAACCGGAGAATATTCTTCTTGATGATAACTTAAACATCAAAGTAACGGATTTTGGTTTGGCTGTATTTGTGGACGACGAAGAAGAACTTCGAGGTATGTGTTTTAATGGTCAGCTGTATTTTCATTTGAGGCTTAATGTAATTTAACTAGACAACTCATTTGTTTTTAGTTGTAATTTTCTAGAGCTATGATCGTAGAGAATTTTCCGTACTTTTTAAAATGTAACCAACACCGTAACATCTTTAATTAACATCCAGTTATCGGCCAACGGACGTGTATCTCTCGGCAGTTCGCCACGTCCTCCTTTGCTGCTGTCAGACGTAACCATCGAAAGTCAAAGACATAAAAAGACTAGCTGTCTTTGGTCATATGCATTTGTCCTTTCTTTTATATTAGGCGGTACAATAGGATGAGTGATATTGAGGTGGGACGTTGAGTGTTGGGTATAGTGTTGGAATATAGTTAGTGGTAGTTAAACCAAAAATTGCAATTAGTTCGTGGAATCTCTGTCTATTAGTGTGATCCACGTAGGGAGGCTTAAACTTTCTAGTACGAGTACTCAGAATGGTAAGAACGAGCGACTGGAGACACTTGGTGATATGGCTCAAAATCCTCATACTCAATGGCACACTCTTTGTGAATAGTCATATCCAATAAAATTATTGTTCTTTCACCATATTACAATTCTTTTTCCCTCACTCGCACTTCTGTTTATTATCTCTCTTTTGAACCTCTCCCCTTGCTTTTTTGTAATATATGGAGAGTGACAGGTTGAACTGCTGCACATGTGTGAAAAATTCTAGGCTAAACCAGTCAGTTCATGAAAATCACATTGAATTTAGTCAGGTTTTCACCAATTTACAATACTCTATGTCAACTGCGGCTGTAGTCATGGTCATTTCAAATGACCTGACATTAATTGTATGATTTTTTAAAACCCTTCACGTCCCCAGTGGAACATAGGGCTTCAAGCTAGAGTTTTGAAGTTTCGGTAGCAGTGGTGTTTATTTTTACGGGATGGGGTTGCTAGCCTCAGGCCCAACATTGCCAATTTACGAGTGTTATTATTGGCTTAGTGAGATAAAGAAGTGTGTCGTCTGGGGACCGAATCCCGAACCACATGCGTGGTTGGCGAGCACTGCCGCTGTGCTACCGATGCAATATATGATTAATTTGCTTTTTTGGAACACGAGTACTAACTTGTCTGTGAACCTTGAGGTTATTTGCTATTTTTTCATTGGGAAATATCTTGAAGTATTTTACATATTATCGTATTGATATTACTGACATTAAAATATAGTTATCATCTATCCTATTTAAGCTACTTTTTATCAATACACTTGAGTAAGAAGTGAAATAAGTACTAAATTTAAGATTCAATTTTGGTGTTCTATGGCATTAAACTGATTCTTATTTCAGTTGTTTAAGAAACGAATCACCAAAGCATAGTCGACTTTCATGCTTATCTACCTAACTGCAAACCGGCAAAGTTAAACTATCATAGCCCTTACCACAGTGCCATTGAACAGCCAGTCAGAATTCAGATGCAAAAACGTCTCATAATCGTTGAAAAATACACTTGAAATACCGCAAACTTGATATTAAACTGTATAACTGTAGCTTATGTGTTGTAAGAATGTATACCACGCAATAAACAGATGATTTATAGATAAATCGTACCATGCACGACATACCCATTCATCCAGGTGACTGCAGATCATGGTTCTTTTAGATCCATTGATATTTCTCACTTTTTTTTAGCCTACTCCTAACTCTAACCATAATTCTAGCTTTAACCCTAAACCTAACCTTAACCCTAGCTCCTAAACCTTGATCTTAAAAGCTATAACCCTACCTGACAGTATAGATTTGCAGAAAAAGTACGTAGTAAATAAGTAGAATACTGTATCTGTGCTCTCCAAATTCGAAAAAGTCAGACATGATTTTATTTGGAATGATCTTTCATAGCATCTGTGTCTGATCGGTTCTCAAAGATCAACTTTTGAAAGACCTTGGCTTTGGCTATAATAATTTAACTTCGCCTAAAATCTCATTCATTAACACTCCTCTACACCTAGACCAAGAAACTTCCTGTTGGTTCTTCACGAAGTCGAACGGTCAATTCTCTCTACCTATCGAGGCTCAGGTGGTTTTACTATTCCTGGTGCCTCGTGGGAGTGCTAGGACATACTGTCGACTTAATTGGCATTAAATTCATTTGTAGTAACTGAATCCATTTTTACTACTTAGTAATTAAACAGATTCGCTCCTATGCATAGTCCAGCCAGTTAATTATAGTCCTAATTTATTACTACATGCTACCTACGTGTGACACTTCACGCTTTTCCGGCGATTTTCACGGTGTCATAATTGCAACTGCCGTTCCAAACATTTCATTTAAATGGTGCACTTTCCTCTACCTTCAAATCAATTCTTGCCTTTCAGAAACTCGTGGAACACCAGGTTACTTAGCACCAGAGGTTTTGATGTGTGGTTATTATGAAGACCAACCTCCTTACAGTCAACCTGTAGACATATGGGCATGTGGTGTAATTATGTACACCCTTTTGGCAGGTTGTCCTCCTTTTTGGAATCGTAAAGAACACTTAATGTTGCGTCAAATTATGGAAGGTCGATTCTCTTTTCCCAGTCCAGAATGGGATGATATTAGTGAGTCTGCGAAAGACTTGGTAAGTTATTTTGCTTAGATTTACTTTGCATGGTATTGTAAATTGCTTCAGGGAATTAGTTTTCATAATTCTATTCTGATATTAGATAGTTGGAGGCAATCGGCAGGAAGCCTTTGACCTAGGTTTCGTGCTAGTTGGCACTCGTCAGCAAGGCGTATCTGCAACCTTGAAGGAACTCATGTCACTTTTGAAATTCGAACCCGCATCACCCAGTGCTGCAGTCAGAGACGTCACCAGTGAGCTATTCGCGCTGGCTCGCGATTGACCTCCTGTAGGACTGTAGTGGGTATTTTGATTGAACACCAGTCACTAATGTGACGTGTCTAGTCCTTTCTTTGGTGCAGACTGAATTCTATCAGTCACGTTTGCAATGTGGTCACCATTCTAGGTAGCTCGCCATCACGGTGCATATCACGGCTTCCTGCTGATTACCTCCAACCATCTAATATCATCAAATCAATGTGCACCGTGATGACGAGCTACCTAGAATGGTGACCACATTGCAAAGCTGACTGGTAGAATTCAGTCTGCACCAAAGAAAGGACTAGACACATCACACTAGTTACTAGTGTCCAATGAAAATAATTCCGTTATGCTTACGAAGGAAATAATCAGAAAATAAACAGGTAGCAGAACTTAACGGTGTATTGAATAGGTAATTTCTTGATATTACCCAAGCATGTTTTATTGAATATGACACGTCTGCACAAACACACATTCATAAACCCTCATCATATTTTTATGCTGCATGTTATGACCTCGTGCGTCGGTTGTTCAGCGGTATAATACTCGCCAACCACACACGTGTTCCGGGGATCGATCATTGGCCGACACACTCTTAAACCTCTCTGAGCAAGTAACAAGATTGGTAAAGAGGCTAGCAACCCCATCCCGTAAAAATAAAATTCACCGCAACCGAAACTTCAAAACTCTAGCTTAAAGCCCGATGTTCCACTGGGAACGTGAAGGAATAAAATAAATAATAATAAAATAATGATGTAGCTTATTAGAGTGAGATATATTAGCTTGTCAGGAAAGTCAAACAATCCCCCAGTAGATGTTTTTTCATAAACTAAAAATCATTGTAGATATGTGCCTCATCGATTTGGACTATCGACTTTCAACTGCTGATGTATGTGTTCAGGCGTGGCTTCACATCAAGGAGATTGTGAAGCTACATTGATTAAGATGACCATGACACGTGTTACCCATGTCAATCCACCTCCTTCCTTGTCGAGCGATGTGAGTTCGATGTAGTCAAATCCAAACCGGGCATCAATCCATTCAGATTTTGACTGTTGGTTCTAGTCATGTATGGAGGTGTAGATTATCTGGTTGGGGTCTTCGAGGCACTAAGAAACAATAGCATGGGACTACCGTTGACAAAGATTCAAATCGTTCGTAACGGTCCAGATGCATTAACTTTATAATCACTCAGGTCCGTTAAGTCATCATTTTTCTCCATGTAATTATTTTTTCTCCTTTAGATTTATTCTCACTAAAACTCTTTTGAATCTCTCTTTTCGCTACCTTTGTGTGCTACATGGAGTGTGGCAACATGAACTGATGTACTTCTGTTCCGAGTTCTATGCTTAGACTCAGCTAGTCAGGCATATCTTTTGTTGACAATCAAATATATATCCATTTCAAGCTGTAGACTGTTTGTTCACAAAGTTAAAGCCGCCACTTTTTTAAATTATAAGCTTTGTTATAAAAAAAATAATTAATAGAAATAAACGTTTAACCTGTTTTTCTTAAGGATCAATCGATCTATTAAAAAAAAGAAAATATCATTTAAATACTGAATTATGACAAATACTCTCCCACTGCTTCATCCCTCATAAAGAGGCTAGCTATCTGTGACCACAGATGTTTGCATTCGATCTCCTGTGTTAAATGGTATAATATGGTGGTGAGTAATATTGAGGTTGAGTGTGATATTAGGCAAGGAATCTAGGTGAATCTATAAGGTTGTGAAGGTACATCGATCGGGATAGCTGCAGTGCATGCTGTGCACGCCCAGCTATCTCCTTCCTTGTCGAGCAATGTTAGCTGACATAGGATTAGGTTTGATAAAGTTATGCATGGTCAAACTAAAACCCGGTAACTATCCATGAAATCGTTGGTGTTTTGAGTCACTTAAAAAGGCGCTGACTGCCTGATTAAAGTCCTCGACATGCTAGGAACTAATGGCTGCAGACTGACTGTTAACGATATGGCGCAAACAGTTCTCAATGACGCAGATACATTCACTATAGTGTAATTTCCAATATCCATACTTTTTCATGTAATTATTCCTGCTGGGAAATATGATAACTTAAGCTGCTGCACTTCTGTGCAAAGTTTTATATCGCAAAACCCAGTCAGTCAACTTCATATTTACTCATTGAACTTAGTTTGTGTATACTGTGAATGCATTAGCAAGTAAATAGACTGACTATTCTTTCTTTTCTTTTCAATATATATATATATATTCCTGTTTACGCATAGATATGTAAAATCTTGGTTGTCGATGCCAAAACAAGATTGACAGCTGTGGAATCTTTAAAGCATGAATTTTTCTTACAACAAGTACGTTTGAATTGTATTCACATCTTTCCCTTATTGATTTGCTACTAATGCCATTTGTATCACTGCTGTAGTTTTTATTTTGCTTTCTTTTTGAATTCTTTTGATTACTGTGACCAATTAGTGTAGAGCTTTCTTTTATCATTATTATTCTAACCAGTAGATTAAGGGTTCGAATCTCGGCCATTACTTATTTGAGGTAGTGTCATCCCCAACTGCATAGTTGAGAGTCAAATGCTTGTTCAATGGAGTTGCATTTCACTTTTCATTTATTTATTAATTTTTTAACGCCTTGTAACAGTAACACACCTGTTAACTGACACTTTTACCACAAAGTTATTGTTGGCTTCTGAAGCTTTTAGATTGCTATAAATAGTTTAAGTGATCCAACTATCTAAGTTATAATAAAATTGGTGTACCCCTTGTGAAGCCCAGTCGACAACTGCTATTTTTTCGTAGTGGTCGGGCTTGAATACCACAGTGACCTAACAAGCTAAACTGGCTGGGACTCATGTTCCTTCAGGTCCTACCATGTCAGGAAGGTTGATTGGATAGCTGTTAGACTAAAAGTAGTTACCTTGGGGTACATGGGCTCCAAAATCAAATCGCATCAAATGGCGTATGAACCTATATTGGTCACCGGCAACCATGGGAACACTGCTCTGCTGCCTTGCGGATTAGGCTCCAAGTCAAAGGCTCGGGGGTTGGTCCCTTAAGAAAACCACCTGCTTCGGTCTGAGCGCCCGAGCAGTATCTCAGCCCTTACACAGTAAATGAAATGAAGCAACCCCTTGTGAAGTGGGCATACTCATTTCCGGTATTCACTATGATCTCATCGTCTGTAATTTGTGTACATTTTTATTAAGTAACGCTTAACTTTCTATTGTGTTCAGCCTTCCGTAGGTGTACTTTTTATATATTTTTTTATTCCTTCACGTTCCCAGTGAAAAATGGAGCTTCAGGCTGCAGGCTTGAAGTTTCTGTTGCAGTGAGCAATATTCAGGTTAGGCGTCGAGTGCTAGGTAAGGCGGGGAAATCAATCGACGAGACTGTGAAATTACATCGACTGAGATGGTTAGGACATGTGCTACGTATGCCTAGTCATCGTCTTCCTCGACGGACAGGCAATGTTAGCTGATATAGGGCCAGGCTGGAAAAGAGCTAGCGGCGGTCAAACGAAAACATGGCACCAGTCAATGAAATCCACAACAGCTACTCTAAGCCACGTAGGAAGATGTAGACTTCCTGACTGGTTGGGTTCCTCGGAACGGTAAAAACCAATTGTTGGAAACAACTGGTGACATGGCTCAAATCGTTCTCAATGGCTGGCGCAGATGCATCCACCCCTTGTGACTTATGATTTCCGTTATTACTATTCCTCTGTCTCACACCTCTGTTTACTCACTATATTATGCATTTCTTCTACTTTCTTTTGCTTTGTGTGCTACAAGGTGGGAGTGTGGCGACTTGAACTGCCGCACATATGTGCAAAGTTCTATGTCGGAAACCGACCGACCGTTTTATTATCTTTACAGGATGGGGTTGCTAGCCTCATGCCCAATCTTTCCTGGCTTAGCGAGGTAAAGGAGTGCCTTGGCAGGAGATTGAACCCCAGACCATGTGCATGGTCGGCCAGCGTACTAACCACTGTACCACCGACGCACAGGTGTACTTTAAATCCAACGTATTCTGTATGCTCTACTTTTGTTGGACAATTTCGAAATGTTTTTATCACAGTAAATGGTTCAGTGTATACATACAGTATAGGTGGAAGTATCCAGTAAATCCTCCAAAGGTGGGGTTGTGGCTCATTAGCTTAAGTACTCAGTATTTAGCCAATAGTTCGCGGATTAGAATCTTGTTCCGCTTAGTTCAACCTGACCAGCCGTGACACAATAAGTGTGCCTCTTATCCTGTTACATGAAACATCTATTCTCGAGTAATTGCGCTTAAACAAGCAGTAAGTCGCAGTAGAAAAAATATTTTGGAGACATCAAGGCAGTTTTTGGTGTTAATTTTGATGTTGCTGCCATGTATGTAGACTTAAAATCAATAATTTCTTTGTCTAATTTTACTGACACTATTTGAATTCACTTGAACTAGTTGCTACGGCGATATCTACTGTCTCTGGCTTCAGCCTATGCCTTTACTTGACAGCTAGGCTTTGGAGCAGAAGATTATTGATTGTCTATGTGAAAATGCTTTTTCCCCCTCACAAATGAGTTAATGCTGGTTAATAGTCTGTTAGTTTTTGATTCAATCTGCTTTATTTGACTTAAGCTTTGAGTTTTCAGCCAATAAGTGGAGCTGTAGCTCATTTGTCTAAGTGTTCCACTTCCGGCTACTGAGTCATGGCTTCGAACCGAGCTCTACCCACTGGAGATTTGGGCAGTCAGATAGGATGACTAGCCCTCACACAATAGGTGTGGCTCATTACCAATTGTATTTAATTCTTGAGCTGCAATCTGCGAATGTTTGGCATGTGATTCGCTCTCGCCATATGTAAGATGATGCTACAGGACTGGACTACATTGACTCCTAGCTCAGAAATAGGAAGTGAAGTGGTAGAGCACGTTGACAACTTCACTTATTTTGGAATTTGCATCAGCCAACGCCACCGGGTTGATCGCTGACGAAATCTCAGCACAGATACAGCAGGCTAATTTCGCATATGCCAGTTTACGCCTTCTCTGGTTTAATAGACGTGATATCCAGTCGGCTGTTGACCAAAGGGCGTGTACACTGTTCAGCAGTCCGCTCCGTCCTCCGTTATGGCTATGAACGAGACAAGGCAATGAGAGTGGAAGACATGAAAGAGAAGGCTAGCTGTCTTTGATTATAGGTGACTGCCTTCTTTCTCCCGCGTGAAATGGTATAATAGGGTGAGCAATATTGAGGTTAGGCGTCGGTCGAGTGTTAGGTAAGAAAGGAGGGGAAATCAATCGACGAGGTTGTGAAGTCACACCGATCGAGATGATTAGGACATGTGTTACGCATGCATGCCTGGCCATCGCCTTAATCGACCGACAGTCAATGTTAGCTGACATAGGATCGATGAAGTTGGAAAAGAGAAGGCCAGTGGTGATCCAACCAAAACATGGCTTCATCAGTCAATCAAATCCACAACAGTTAGTTAAAGCCAGCCAACCAGCCGCGTAGGGAGGTGTAGATTGGGGTCCTCGGGACGGTAAAAACCAATTGTGGTTGGAGACAATTGGTGATACGACTAGTTCAAAATCATCGTTCTCAATGGCTGGCGCAGATGCATCCACTCCTTGTGACTTATGATTTCCAATGAAACTATATTGTTCTTCGATATTACTATTCTTTTTGTCGCACATCTGTTTACTGTCTTCTATTTGGCATTTCTTCTACTGTCTTCTGTGGCTTTGTGTGATGAGTGAAGTGTGGCGAATCGAAATGATGCACATCGGTGCAAAGTTGTATGTTGAAACCAGTCAGTCATTCAGTCAGTATTTAATTCCAAGCGGTCGTTAAGTAATATTTCATTTTTCTTCCCTCAATAAGTCTTGGGTTCAAAGTCCTACTTTAGTCGAAATAGTTGGATAGTTATCATGGGCCATTACATAATAAGCTTTGCGTTAATTCCTGATAACTGAGTTTATATAGGTTCTTGCCCTGAAACATACTCACATATCACTCGTTGTTTTTCCTTCCTGTCAATAATGAAAAGCCAGTCCAAGTACAATTAATATAAAGGATGATGCTTACTATAAATGTTTTAATTACTTGATAATATTATTATTTTCATACATAAAAATATCACATTATTGACCTTCATTGTGTGTATGTGGGTGTGGATACATAATCTTGTTTTACAGAATAATAACTTAATAGTGATCAGAGTATCTAGAAATACATTAAAGTATAAGTACAACAGTGTGTGCACAGAAAGCTAAATTATTCATTCATTCATGGATTCGGGCATTGTTATGGAATTGATTTTGTACTGTGCAACAACAAATTGACGAAATTTTGTGTTAAGAGTTAGGCAAATTGAATAAGGCATACTTCCAAAAGCATGCATTTAAAACTTGGTTACTGTGATAGGATGTAATTCCATTTTAATTTGTTTATTAGATGGATATATCACACAGTGAAACAGTATTATTATTATGTACCGGATGACAAGATTTCGAACACAATTTATCATTGTTCATAAACATACCATCAAGGTGTAACTACATAACTTCGAAGCTTTCCTTTTATAGTCTTCTTTATTCCGTCCTATACGTCGTCGTGGGGGTAGTAGAATGCATTTTGCAGATGTCCGGGTAGACAGGTATTGAATCTTTCCTATTACACGTATTTGCCGTTGATTGGATAAATAAAGCTCCTGTTATTAGTCTCTCCCTCTACTGTGGATGCATGTCAAACAAGCACAGAATAATGATACATTACAATTCTACGGAGACAGCGATGATCGATTTATGACTTTTTATTACGATACCTGTCACAAAATGCGTATGAATGATGAATATGCATTTATGAAAAGAAAGAGGATAATTGGTTACAGGATTTTATCATGAGCTGACATTGGTTAGAGAACCATTGGAAAACTTGGGAGTACTGGACAACTGTTTCGTCCTAGTTCGGGACTCTTCAACAGTGCGCACCCATCGGGATTCAAACCCAGGACCTTCTGGTTTCAAGGCGAGCTAGCTCGTAGACCATTAAACAACTGTAACCCGATCCAATGGCCCATGAATTCCAACTTCTGCCAGTTCACGACATAGCGCGACCACTAGCCAATGTTTTCGGCGATTATTTGTCCTCACACTCGACCTACTGCACCCTACTGGTCACGGCTTCCCACTGGAACCCCACGTAACTACCTACCTGAATAGGGCCAGTCGCCAGTGAGCATCTCATTGATATTCAAGTATTGGTTTGTAGGGAATTCTTGACCAGTAGGGTGCAGCAGGTCGGGTGTGAGGACAAATACTCGCCGAAGACATTGGCTAGCGCTTGCGCTATATCGTGAAATGGCAGAAGTTAGAATTCATGGGCCATTGGATTGGGTCCCAGTGGCTTCACGGTATACGAGCTCGCCTTGTAAGGTCCTGGGTTCGAACCCCTGATGAAGATCCTCAAACTAAGCCAAAACAGCTGTCCAGTACTCCCAGGTTTTCCAATGGTTCTCTAACCAATGTCAGCTCACGATGAAATCCTGTAACCAATCAACCAAATGCCTACAAACCAATACTTGAAAGAGAATACTTATTTGATTCCGGATGAAAAATAATCACAATAGGAGTAACTTAGTTATTATAGATGTTTGTGTTTATCAACGGGTTAAACTTATTGCCTGAGATTGAGACATTATAGCTCACTGGATTAAGCATTCAGTTTCCAGCTAGTTGGTTATGCTGTTCGAGTCCTGCCGCCATCCATTACAGCTCACAATTGACAACTGTGTCTCCTTAGCCTGGCATACTTACAATAAAAGCTCTGTCCTAGGTCATTGAATTGATAACAGCACACAACACAATGCATTTAGTAGAACCATTGATGCCACTATACTTGATCTTTAGGCACAGGGGTGTGTGTTTGTGTGTGTTAATCACCTTGTCCATAACTCTCAGTTTTTTGAACTTGAGTACTTTTCACCCTAAAGCTAACAGGGGAGATGAATGCCGTTGCTGCTGCTGCTGCTGTTTTTCTTTCAAATTATTCAAAATAGGCTTTTTGAATTTGAATTTGCTAATCGAGTTTCATTTGAATATTTCTTTTCATGTTTTAAATTTTAGCCTTTAGTTGGAGTGACTACAACATTCAATGCTAAGCGGAAATTCAAGGTAAGACAAAACAGGTTATTGATCAAATTTCCTATTATTATTATTTTTCTAAATAAAATTCCAATTCCCTTGATAATGAAGACTTTTTTTACTAATTGTGTTAGAAAGTTTAAATTATCGATAAGAATTAGAAGTCATGCGTGCACCTCATCTGTAGTACATATCCTCTTGGCAATATATGTTGCGTAATCTTATCACTTAGGTATCGCATTCATATACACCTACATCATTTTTTGAATGATTATTATTAATTATTATTGTTCCCTTGGGTTCCGAGTAGAACATAGGCCTTCAACGTAACATCTCCATTTCATCCTGTTTTCTGCAGTCCTCTTTAACTGGCGTTGCAATTGTCTATTGGCTTTCACCCCCTCAAACGATCTCCTCCATGTCACACTCAGACATCTCACTCGTCGTTTTTCATTCGAGTTCTAGTTGAAGGGTTTGAATTGCGCTAGATGTCACCCATAGGTCTATCTTCATTTCCTTCGTCAAAGTTGTTGAGCCATAGGTTCTTAGCGGGTTTGTTCCCATAGTTTCTTTTTGTCAATTCTTTCTGACCGGTCCTTTGATCTTCATTATGAAGCCAGAGAAGGCATTTGTAGCCTGTTGGAAATGCTTTTCGTGATGCGTACTCCAAATTGCTGACCCATATAGAAGAATTGACTGACTGACTGACTTAATACTGGTGTTGAGAATCCGAATCTTGTTGTTTATACTGAGTGCAGTACGTCGGTGGCACAGTGCTTAGGACTCTCGCTGACCATGCACATGGTCCGGGGTTCAATCCCCTGCCGACGCACACCTGATATCTATGATCGGCCTGCAAAATTTGGGCTACCGATATCACATGCTGAAAATTCCATACCTGTACCGGAAAATACGGTGTGGAATCAAGCTGTAATCAAAGAAAGCAATACTTGAAAATTTTAAATTCGTTTAAAAAAGAATCCCTTTGCGTTGAATCACAGTTGTTTTTTTTCTTTTCATTTTCAACATGTTGTGATGGGAATTTCCCATGAATTAATTCAACTTTTCTCTTTTTTTATTTCTTTTCCTAATTTTCTAATCACATAAAGACTAGTATCATGGCAATAGGCTTTATCTATTGTCTAAAACGATTGAAAACAGATGCAGCATTTTTAAATGTCAATCAACTTTCAATGGATCCATATTCAAATAAAAAGTTGCGTAAAATTATTGACACTCTGGCCTATGATGTTTATAGTCAATGGGTAAAGAAAGGCGAAGAACAGAATCGTGCCGCTTTGTTTGAAAATGCTCCACGTCGTGATTTAATTGATATTGCGTCGTCGATATGTAATCCTAATAGCTTGAGTCCAAGACGTTCAATATTCGCCGGAGGTGGTGGTGGTGGTGGCGGCGGCTCGATGAATTATACAACCTTCAATTATGAAGACGATGATGATGATGACTTGAGAGTGCCTATTAGGATTGAATATTGAATAATATATACGCATATATTGCTCATTGAACAGTATTCATTCATGTATTGCCCTGTTAGTTTATATTTTCATTTTCATTCAGTCTAGATATGCAATATACACATATATACTGCATAAACTCGGTGCAATAAGAAAGTGTACACCCCGAATACCGAAATCTAAATACCTACCTACCTGTTCAGATCCAGTTCACTCCAAGCCCTGCCTGCCTGCCTTCCTCTTCCTCCCCCTTTATATTTTCGTTTATTTCTCTCTCCTGTACAAAATTCCCCCATCCCTCCCTCACCTGCTCGCTCGCCCGCCCGCATCTTTTTATCAGTTCTAGTCATATATATTTTTTATTTCTGATGTAATTTTAGTTATTTATATATACAAATGTATTATCTTGATAATATTGTCATTTATAACGGTACCACTACTACTACTAATAATAATAATGAAAATTGAGAAGCGTCTTTCATATATATCTTTGTTAACTTACTTGTTTATCGATTGATATTTTGGTTCAATATTTCTGCATTGTGTTGATTTTATTCTATTCTATATATATATATATGCAACAATCATATGAAACGAAATACAATCAAATTAGTACTTATAATTTATATCTTCAAATGTGTATATGCGTGTGTATGTGTGTGTGCGTTTTGCATCTTTATGTTGTCTCGGCTCTTTTACCTGGTGGGTCAAATTGTTGATTCAGATTTTGAAACATCAGTTTTGTCCTAGTTCGGGACTCTTCAACCACACGAGTCCAACACTTTAGTGTTTCAAGGTGAACCCGTTAAGCATTCATTGCAGTCTACCACCTCTGTTAAGTGTTGTAGTATGGTGAGTCATATTGAGGTTAGGTAAGCAAAGGAATTCAATTGTATGAGGTTGTGAAGAGTTACGTTGATTGAGGTGGCTAGGACATATGTTAAGCAGAGTTAGTTGACATACGATTGATTAGGTTGGGGTAGGTGAAACCAAAACCTGGGAACAGTTCATTCTACAGTTGGTTTTAGCCAGTCACGTAGTGAGGTGTAGACTTCCTAGTTGGGATACTGACTGACTGACTGGTTTCAACAGAGAATTTTGCACCGATGTGCAGCGGCTCGAGTCAACACACTCCCTCCATGTAGCACTCAGAGCAAAGGGGGGAGAAAGTAAAAAGAAATGCAAAATAGAGACAGTAAACAGAGATATGAGGCAAAAGAATAGTAATATCGAAGAACAATATGGTTTTATTGGGTATTATAAGCCACAAGGAGTGGATGCATCTGCACCAGCCATTGAGAACGACTTTGAGCCATATCAACAATTGTCTCCAGCCTTCATTGGTTTTCACCGTCGCGAGGACCCCAACCAGCCAAGAAGTCTAAACCTTTCTACGTGGCTGGCTGGCTTAAACTAACTGTTGTGGATTTCATTGACTGATGATGCCATTTTTTGATTTGACTACCACTGGTCGTTTTCCAACCTCATCGATCCTATGTCAGCTAACATTGCCCATTGGTCGACGGAGGCGATGGCTAGGCATGCATGTGTAACACATGTCCTAACCATCTCAGTCAATGTAACTTCACAGTGTCGTCTATTGATTTCCCCTCTTTACCTACCACTCGATCGTTGCCTAACTTCAATATTACCCACCCTATTATACCACTTTACATGGGATATAGAACTCAGGCACCCATGATCCTGGAGCCACTAAGAACCAATGGTTGGAGATTGTTGGTGAGATAGCTCAAAATCCTCCTCAGTGGTGGAGATGCATGCATTCATTGTAATCTCCCGTATTCATTAATCTATTCCTTCTCCCGTAAATTTTCTCTCATTGTAGTTCTCTTGAATCTCTTATTTCTTTATCATTGTGCGTTACATGGCGGGTTAAGCTGCTACACTTCTTAGCGCAATTCTATGTTGCAAATCAGTTAGTGAGTTAGTTAGTTAACTATTCAGCTTCTGAGATGGAATCCAATGACTGATGCATTCTAACTCCTGCCAATCCGCGATTTTTTGTTGATCCAAATTCTGGGTTCCGTATGAATTTCGATTAATGTTTGCAATGTATACTTCCAAGAGTTTGTCTGCAGGGATTTGACTTGTTTCAAGTTTGAGCATGGAGTGATGTCAGTTAAAGAGCTTTTGGAAACTGGGGAGTGTACTGGGCAGCTGTTTCGTCCTACTTTTTGTGACTCATCAGCAGCACACAGTCACACCCGAGTTTCTAACCCAGGACCTTCCGGTTACAATGCAAGTTACTAGACAATTCAGGCAACCTTGAAAATTAATCTGATCTTCACTGGTGACTGGTTGTAGTTTCCTGGAGTCCTGGTGTGGGTAATAGTGACCAGTGGGGTCCACCACACGGTCAGGAGTGAGGACAAATACTTTCGCATGAAATTGGCTGGTGCCATTTGCGTTAAAATCACGAGTTGGTAGGAGTTAGAATTCATGGACTGGCCAGTGACTCGGGTTCCGGTGGCTGAATGGTCTACGAGCTTATCTTGTAACCGGATTGCCTGACTGGTTTCAACACAGAACTTTGCACAGATGTGCCGCAGTTCGAGTTGCCACACTCCATGTGGTACACAAAACAACAGGAGAGAGATTCAGAGGAGAAATATGAGGCATAAAGCATAGTAATATTGAAAGGAAATGGAGTTTTATTGGATATAATAAATCAAAAAGAGTGAATGCATCTGTACCAGCCATCGAGAACGATTATGAGCCATATCACCAATTGTCTCCAGCCACAATTGGTGTTTACCGTCCCGAACACCCCAACCAGAAAGTCGACAACTTCTTACTTGATTTAAACTAACTGCTGTGGATTTCATTGACTGATGAAGCCATGTTTTGGTTTGACCACCATTTCAGGTGACAACTCTCTATAAGCTCTCACCTGGCTGCATGAGTTCGATGTATTTTCTCGGCCTTTCGCTTCACGGCCAAACATCGCCATAGTACCTGTCGGTCGACGGAGTGAAAGGCCACTTTCAGGTGAAGGAATATAACGACTTTTGGACGCCAGAAGGTCCTGGTTTCGAACCCCAGTGCGTTTATGCTGCTAATTGAGTTCCAAGCAGTAGGATGAAACAGCTGTCCAGTACTCCCTGGGGATTTTCAATGCTTATTTAATTGAAATCAATTTGTGATCAAAATTGAATGTATATTGATATAAGTATATATTGTCAAGTCGACGTCAGTTAGAGAATCAGTAAAACCTGAGAAGCACTGGATGGAGAGCTGTTTCAATCTGGTTCAGCACTCTTCAGTAGAGTGCATCGTGGACCTTTAGGTTATTAGGTGGACCTAATAACCTTTCATTCCTCAATAAGGAAGAAACAAATGTGCAGGGATACTGTGTTTCCAGTGATCCTGTAACTGATGTCCCTTCATGAATAAAATCCACAATGAAATTCTTAATTTTTTTTTATGAAACGGTTTGATGAATGAAACGACACACTTACATTGTGACCAGGAGATCTAAACAATTGACACTTGATATGGCTGGCCATGACGTTAACGTTGACTGAAGTTTGTTATGCAACCAGCGAGTTAATTTGAATAACATCAGTTAGGGCGATTGGGGCATATTGGCTAAAGGGGTGATCTAGCTGGCAAACACTACTGCTTAACGTGAATGGTTTCCAACTACTCATTTCAACCAATCAGTAGTATATACTAGCATGCTATAATAATTGCCTTTTAGGTCACACATTGGGATCTTTATGACGTGATTACGAATAATGCCTACTACTTCGTTTTCCGGAGTGAAACATGTGACTGCAGTCTGGGAGACTTGAAGTTTCAGTAGCTGTGGTGTTGTTTGTTTTTACTAGGTGTCGGGGGAGGGTTGCTAGCCTCACGCTCAGCCTCCCATCTTCTCAAAGCTTACTAGTAAATTAGACAATGTCTTGGAGTGGGTCGGTGGGGAGTCGAACACGGGACCACTGTGTGTGACTGGCGAGTATTCTGTCCACTGACGCACTTATTGGATAGATATCTGAGTTTTGTTTTATACAGATTGTGAAATACGTACATATTTGAAAACAAAACACGTAGTTCAGCTGAACTACTTACTTCATTGGGAATACAAAAACTTTTTCAATATCCAGTGCCGAAATTTTTTCAAACTGTTAAAAGTGAACTTGGTTTGAACATATATATATATATATATATATATATATATATATATATATATATATATATATATATATATATATATATATGGATCCAGGTTCTTTAATCTTACTGAGCAGGCTTCAGCAGAACCAAGAGCTTTCTTTTCATAACCTTGCTTATTAATGGTAACTATACAGCTTTTACTCAACGTCACCGTGTGATTACAGTCCAATAAATGTCGTGTGTTTCATCATGAGCTGAGATTGGTTAGAGTACCATTGGTAAACCTGGGAGTACTGGACAGCTGTGTCGTCCTAGTTTGGGACTCTTAAACGGTACGCACCTACCGGGATTCAAACACAGGACCTTCTGGTTACAAGGCGAGCTCGTAGACCTTTAAGGCGCCCTCGGGACTCTAAGAATCAATGACTGGAGACAATAGGTGACATGGCTCAAAATCGTTGTCAATGGCTTACGCAGATGTATTCAGTCTCTGTAATTTTTCATATTCCTTTCTGCCATTACTCATTCTGTTTCACTCTTATACTTGTCAAAACTCTATTGATTCTCTTCACTCATTTTCTTGTCTACCTTTGTGTGCTCTTTGGAACGTGGCAACTCGAACTGCTGCACTTTGGTGCCAAGTTCTATGTTGAATCCAGACAGACAGACCATTAAGCCATTGGGACCCGATTCAATGGCTCATGAATTCCAACTTTTGCTAGTTCACGACATAGCGCGACCACTCGTCAATGTCTTCGGTGAGTATTTGTCCTCACACCCGACCTGCTGCATCCTACTGGTCACGACTTCTCCACTACAACCCCAGGTAACTACCTACCTGAATAGGGCAAGTCGCCAGTGAGCATCTCATCGATATTCAAGTGTTGGTTTTCCAATAGTTCTTTAACCAATGTCAGCTCATGATGAAATCCTGTAACCAATCAAATCCTTACAAACCAACACTTAAATGTCGTGTGATTGACGTCCTCGGGACTAGATTAATCATTTTCGGTAATATT